AGGAGCGTGGGAGCAACAAGAGGATGAGACTGGCACCTCCCTGAGGATTCACACTGTTGTGGCTGGCTGGCTTGGGGGCTGGGGTTTTCGTCTGGGGAGATTCTTGCTAGAGGTTGTAGCTAATAAACATAGCTGAACTGAATCGGCATTGTCTCTTAGAGTTCCTTGGGCTAGGCCTGACAAGTATAACCCTAACATACAGACATACAATTACGCTAAGTTAAGGGTGCATTAACTTTGCCACAATAGTATTTTTGTTTAACCATTTATTTTGTATTAAGGGGTGGGAGGAGTTTACATTGGCAATATAAATTAGGAATTTGTAATTCTGGGGGGAAAAAAGTCTGTGTATGTGTAATTAGATGATAGATAGACAGATAAGCTAACGGCTTTTATGTGGATTTTTTTTTTAAAACACATGAGATATGCAAAATCATGTAATACATAAGATGCACTTTATCTGAATTGAAGTTACAAGAATAATCTGAGAGGCAGAAAAACTTGGTGTGGGTGTATAAACACATCTATTTTGAGGACTATGCTGCTGAATAATCAGAAATCTGTTAAAAAGAAATTTATGCTTGAAAGAAGATTGTTGTTGTTTTTATCATAAGTACTGGTATAAAATATTTCCCTGACTAGAATATTACAGAACTGGAAATGTAGTAGTAATAAACGTTATTTTGTTGGTCATGAGCTATAAAGCTAAGAAATCCATATAGAGTAAAAGAACTTAAAAAGGTCAACCAGAACGATCCAGGGGTTAGAAGATCTTCATGCAGGGAAAACCTCGAACTGCTGCAGTATGCTAGAGGTATATAACACTCTCAGTTTTAGAAAGCAATGAACAAAATAATATAGAGATTTTTTTTTTTCCCATCTGGTACTACTAAAACTTGAGATCATGCCATGAAAATATTGGCAGTGGATTCAGCATTAACAGAAGATGTTTCACACTGCCACACATGCTTCATTTAGTTTTAATTTTATGACACCAAAATAGTTGATGGACAGTGATATATTTTAGACAGTTTAAAAGAAAAGTAAGAAAAAAATAAATAAATAGCCATCAATACAAATATGGCATACCTGTATTTTCCAGACTAATAACTTTATCAGTTGAGGAGATAATACTGGTATGACATATCCTTAATAAAACCATGTTGAATTTAAAAAAAAAAAGTACATTACTTTCTGGATGATCAGAAACTGCTCAAAAATCTTTTCGAGATTAGTGCCCTTCAATGTGACTCATCAGATCCTTTTTGAACTATTTGCCTGTTTTTTCATCTAGCACTTCTCTGGCTCACCAGCAACTCCTCTTTTGACCTAAGTTTAGGCTTTCTAGTTGGCCAATAGGGGGACGCGGTGGTGCAGTGGCTTAATGATGCTGAAAGTTGCCGGCCAGAAATGGTCGACGCTTCAGCGGTTCGAGTCCAGCCT